ACCTACTACAGACAAGAAAGCAAACAAACCCCTGTGGTAAAAGAAGGGTAACGTTGCAAATACAAATACTCAACAGCAAGGAAATTCCAGAATGAAGGCTACCCAGACTGTTGTGCACCAATATTGTGATACAGTCTTTAACTACGTGATTACCTAATTCCTTCCACAGGGTACCTGTCTCAGTCAGTGCCCAGGAGAAACCATGCTCACTCATTGGGAAGCTAGTTGATATTTCTTTTTATCCTTGTTATTTTAACATGTGGTCTCCAGGTTATTGATTACAAACCATCCAAACCCTACACTAAATACACAAGTACCGTATTTCACAGTGTGTAGGTCAGGTTTTGAAGCCCAATTTTGGTGTCTTAAAAATCAAACTCAATTTATACACTGCCACTTCAAAAAATCACTGCCGACAAACTGCTAGTTTAGCGAATGCATGAGGCGCAGTCATGTTAACTGCACTAATTGCACAAGGAGCGATCCCAATAATTAGTGTCAGGCAGGGCTACTGCCACTGCTGCAGCTGCTGGGGTATTCGGCTTTCCTGGCATCCAGCATCAGGTAGAGGAGTGGCAGGGACAGAGGAGCTGCAGCACAGAACGTGGGGTTGAGGCTGGTGGGAACGCAAAGCCGCATTCAGGAGGGAAGCGGGAGCACAGAACTTGGGTGGGCAAGGTGTGAGTGTGTGAGAGGGTGTGGGTGTGGGTACCCCCCACACACTTCCCCCCGTGGTGCACAGCAGCAGGCAGGTGGCAGGCCCTCATGGCTCATGCAGGCACTGCCATCCTGCAGCGTACGGTTCTGCGCATCACCAGGGGAAGCCACGCACACTGGAGCCAGCTGCCTTCCCTGCCACCTGCCTGCATGTGGTGGCGAGGAGTGCAGCCTACCCAGCTCACATCTATCACACCACTCGAAGGAGCCAGAGCCAGAGCCAGAGCCGGGCTTGGTGCTTGCTGGCACAGCCCAGGCTGTGCTGGCCCTGACCTCCGCAAGCAGTGCTGCCTGGGCCACACCAGCCAAGACCCAGCCCCTCTGAGCAGCACAACAGAAGCGGACCAGGAAGTCTGCGCTCCTTGCCACCATGCGCAGGCAGGGAGCAGGGAAGGCAGCCGACTCCAGTGCTGGCTTGCAAGGCACAGGGCTAGGCTCAGTGCTCGGCAGCACCACTTGCAGGGGATGGGGCCACACCAGCTGAGCGCAGAGCCTGACCCTGACTCATTCACTGTGCCTATCCCAAACCTAACTTTTTGCACCAGAAAATCGGGGTTGGCCTATACACTGTGTCAATTTATACCATTTGAAATATGGTAATCATTTCCCTGGGAGTTTTCCTATGTGCTCATCGCTGGAATGTCTGAACTTGCTCCACAAAATCCAAACAGTTCAACTTCCCCACAGCCCCTAGGAGTGCTACCACTTCACATCGGTCCAATTGTCATTTCTGAAATATTAATGCCTGCATTGTTAAATGGGTCCGCTGATTTTGGATGGAGTCACCTTAGGCCTGGTGGGGATATCTACACATTCATTAATGTACCTTAGTTACTCCACATTTACTTTAGTACCTCTAATAATTAGTAACACCAGCACACAGTTTAGTGACACCTACTGCGCATTAACCTAATAACTCTGTGTAGCTATTAGCTATAACTCTGTGTGGCCATTAGCACAGTTAATAACTGCTACACTACTGCGCAGTGTTATTAGGCTAATGTACTGTAAGCCTCTTGTGTAGACGCGCTCAGTATTTAATATGTTTAGAGCACTTAGTATATTCAAAGTACAGCTCCCACTCAACAGTCATAGATGCAAGTGTCCAGGACTTCTGCAAATCAAGCCTCTGGGTCTCCAGTTGGGCATCTGGAACATGAGGAATACACAGTACAAATGGCTACCTATGAAAATGCTGACGTGACTTGCCCAGAAATGCACTGGAACTCTGAGGCAGACACAGCAAGGGAATCCCGTCCTCTGATGCAACATAAGACTGCCTTTGTCGTGAAACCATTCTTTTTCTTTTCACAGTCCCATTTCAATCCCTGCACATCTTCTGATTCAAGAGAAACAAAGATCCACCCCTCAACTGTCCTCATTCCCAAAGCACAGTCTGTTCTGTTAGCTCATGGAAAAAATAGTGTGTGATCATGCATAAAACACACAAACTAGGGGAATGAATTAAGGCTGCAGTCATAGCTGAACACAAGAGAGCCTGACTGTGCAACCTTAACATTCCTCTAATGCTATCAGTATGCATGCACATGTGTATAACTTCCTAGCTCCTTTAAAAAGCAAACTGAAAAGAGAAATTCCATAGTGACTCGCCACACATCTTCAGCAGCATTTGATCCCTAACATCCACAGCACAGACCTCTGCTACTTGAGCCAGTGGGAGAAACTGGCCCAAGTAACAGCCTGCTATTCTCTAAAGGGGTGACCAGTATAATAGGCTATGATACCCTCTTTCCAGTGGACTTTACGACTGCTTGTTAGACAGCTCAGGTCAGCCTCAGGACCCTAGTTCCATTCTGGATCCTGGAGGGGAGTATGCTCCAATAGTTATAGGCTCTTCAAGTCCCCAGGCTGCCTGCCTTCCTCCTGTGTGGCTCTCACAGTCTGTCTTTGCCCCTTCTGCCCCTCATCCTCTGCTGCAGCCTGTCTCTGCTTCTGCTTTCCTTTTCTGTCACCTCCTCACCCTTCTGCATTCCCATCTGGCAACTTTTTCCTTCCACACTGGAAAGAACACTTCTGTGGAAAGCTTGGCTCAGCCCCTGCAGCCCTGGGGACCGCTTGCTTTACTGGGGGATGAAAGGTGATGGGGGGAGGAAGGGTGGCATGTGTGCAGTACAGTAGGACCTTGAGGAGATGGAGTTTGCTTAGTGCAGATGGGTTCTTTGGAGAATTTAGCAGTCAAACTCTAACAAGACTCTACCAAGTATATGCAGCCTGAGCTTTTTTGCAAGCTTTTAACTTTATCAGATAGAAGCAGGTCTTCAAAGGCACATCCTGACACAATGGTGGCCTCCCTGACACATTTCAAATCCTTCTTCCAAAGCAGGAGGAATCAGAGCCTCCCAAAAAAATCAGCTGTAGAATTTTTATAATATTCCTAAACAACATATTTTTATCTTATCTTATTTTCTGATACTGCCTCACTATTTCTGCTGAAATTCTCCAAAATAAAACAGCCTGATGCAAGCCCAAATTATTTAAGTTTGTAAAATTATAAGCAACTGCAAACAGTGTATTGTAAGGTAATGTGTCTGACCACACTCACCGTGCTAGCTATGTTTTCTATGTGTTTCTTTATAATAACAGTACCAGTTATATGGTAACTTTCTTCCCTAGATCTCAAGGCACTTTACAAAGGAGGTCAGTATCGCTTTCCCTGTTTTATAGATCAGGAAACTGAGGCAAAGATTAAGGCTCTGATTTGCCCGATGTCAACTAGCTGGCTAGTGGCAGGGCCGTGTAAAGGACAAGATCTCTATTTTACATGCATGCATGCACACACAAACCCTCCTCCTAACATGACAGACCAAGACATGGGCACTCCACTGGGACAGAAAGCAAGTTGGAAATCAGATGCCACCATCAGGGGTCAAGAGACAAGCCCAAGGTGAGCAACCAGGAGTGAGAAGTCAAGGAAACCCACAATCAGTGGTGATCAGCCGGCAGTCAGTTTCTACAGCTGAGTTTGAATAGGGTCCCACAGCTGCTTTAGGCCAACCGGGCACCCTGCAACATTAGCCAGTTTGACATATCCCAGCTGGGCAGTCACACTAGGCAGGGCAGACTGTGCAGGATCCTAACACAGACCTTTTCTTGCCTAGAGAGTGAGAGTGTGTGGAGAGAAACCTAGCTCAGATAACATTACATTAGGTCAAGTCAGTGATCCCAATCTTCAGTGCCCCATGGATAACAGTCCTGAACAAATAACACGCTACATTCAGCATCACGCTTTGCTCTCCCTGCCAGCCTCAGACAAAGCGTGTTCACGAAAGCAAACCTACCAGTGGCAGCTAGCAACAACACGAGGCCTGGACTGGCAGGCAGCAAACAGTCCTCGAGCTACAGGCTGGGGACCACAGAAGTAGACAGAGGCAGGCATTTCTCTATATTGCAATATACACTGTGGGTATAAATACAGCCCTGGATCTTTCTTCTTTTCTGCTGAGGTGTATATTATTGTCTATGTTCAGACTTTAATGCATATATGCCTAGGCACAACACATCAAGCACCATCTTGTACATTTTTAACTGGGAAACTGCCGGGATATGATTTCTGCTGGGGGAAACAGATCAGAAAAGTGACACCCCTTCCAAGGGAAGCACTTGGCCCCTAAAAAAGGAGGCTGGCGTCCCCTCGCCCTGGACTCAAGGGAAGACTTGTGGCGCCGGCCCACGGGGAGCAGACCCAGGCCGCGGCAGGCCCGGGGCCCACCCCCATGCCCAGCTCTGCAGGCCCAGCTCCACCCTGCTCAGCCCGCTCCTACCCCCTTTCCCATTGGCCCGCAGGCTTGTCCGTCATGTCGCCGTGGTTACAGGGCGAAGTTGAAATTCCTCCGCGCCCCCGCCCGCGTTCGGCCGCACAGCAGAGCCGGCCGCGCCGCCCCGCTCCCCGCGCTGCGCTGCGGGCACCGGGGAAAGTTCAGCTCCAACTTTGCAGCCGGGAAGGCGGGACGGACTCCGCTGAGCTCCAGCCCCGCACAGACGTGGGCATGGCCAGGCAGGACGCAAATCACAGCCTGTCTGCACGGGAAACTTTTCTTGGGCTGAGCTGGTCCCATCCGCGTGCCAGGCCGGCCCCACTCGCTGCCCCTGCGTGCCTGGATCGGGATTGTAATTACAGACGCCGCAGACAGGAGAGGGCCACAGTGTGCCTGGCCTTGTCCCTCCAGATCTGCGGCTGCCCCCAGAGGTGTGGCTGTGCGTTGGGGGGGGATTTCATAAATTGTTCAAGGCTCCTTGTAACCCCTCGGAGCCCCATCTCTCACCTCCTTTCAGAGTCTTGCCCTCCCTTGCGGCCGGACCAAGCTGCCCAGGAACCAAGCGTAGATGGAGCAAAATCTGTGCAGCCAGCCCAAGCAGATCAGATTGCTGTGGTGGTGACCTAGAGAGGGATAAGAGAACTTAGTCTCCTCCTCTGCCTCCTCCTCCCAGCTGGTTAGAGTTTGGGGGAGGGTGAGGGGAAGGGAAGTAGGAAAAGCCTGGCACAGCTCAGAAGGAAAGGGACAAGGCAGGTAACAGACCTAACTTACTTCTGTACCATGTCCGGATCAAAGGATGGTGTGGGGGAGACAGGAAGCCCCCTTGGGTTATGGAGAGCAGGCGGGAAGGGAGGAGGCAGGGAGCTGGAATGGGAGGGATCATAACTTGGAAAACAGGCGATCCTAAAGGAAAATGGAAATATGTGCACAGAGCTTGGATCAGCTGCTCAGCCTCTGCTGGCTGCAGGAAGGATAGGATCTGTGGCTGACACTGGGCCTTGGCACACACTGGCTCTGGCAGCAGCAAGGGAGACAATGGAGGGATCATCAGAGTATAGGAATGCGAACTATTGCTCCCCTGCAAAGCCCTGAAGGTTGGCTCTGTCTGACACTGAGCCGGTCACTTTGCCTCTCCCTGGGCCTCAGTATCCAGATTAGCTCTGGCATGTCAGCAAAGGACTCCAAATGAGCTTGTTTCAAACCAGATAGTCCTGTGAGCCAGACTGGAGGCCTACAGCAATTCCCTTGAAAACCAGATGATGCAGCAGAACTCAACTAGGACAATAAATCACAAAACCCTACCTGAGTAAAACTGAAAATCCCAAAGAGATTTTACTGCGAGTATTTTCCAGTGTTCAGAGAGTTCTGAGGTTTGAAAAATTAGGGCCGTGTTCTAATTTCAGATCTGGTCCGCACATGGGTAAGTGCATAAGTGAACATTTAGCATAATACCAAGGAGCATGCCCCTGCACTCTAGTGAAAACACTGTAAGACTAAGTGGCCACAAGTGGTCAGGACCTGGTTTTTGCATCTCTACAAGTGTCCCTCCAGGCTCTCGTATGCGGCACAGGGTGTGTATTTCAAAACTACAAAGTGAATGTGCTATCTGTTGGCTTGAGCCAGCCACACAGCATCCTGCTTTCCTGGGCGTTCCAATGGAAGCCTCCCATCCTCACATGAACTGAGCATCTCTCTAGTAAGATTGGGTGACATCACAGCCCACCGTGTTGTAGAACATCCCCTTGGGTGTTCTGAGCACTGACATGAAACATAATCTGTGGAAACAACCCCAGCTCCCAGGACACATGTGCTTTTTAATGTTACCAAGCTGGATTCAACAGTTTCATGCTTCTGCAACTGAGTGCTAGGAGGTATGATGCTGTCCAAGTGCAGCATTGGCTGCTTCGGGAGCATCACAGCCACCATTTTACAGACATCCCCTCCAGCTTATCTCTGCAACTAGAGGATTCACTAGATTTTCTTCTCTTCCCCAGTGCCCCATGACTGCATTGTCAGCGCCCGCTGCCAGACAGGACAAGCAGATGCAATGGTGGAGCAGCTTTGATGTGAGTCCTTGCACATTCTCTACAGTTAAGATGTCACAATGACAGGATTAAGAAGGGGATTAGTGATGAAATAAGAGGCCTCCAGCTAACAATGACAGGAAGCTATAGGGGATGGAAATAAGATGGCTGAGCAGATGAGAGGCCAGGAGTACATGAAGTCCCAATAAAGGCCAAGGGTGTATGAAGCCCTTTATAGAGGCCCTGAGAAAGAGCAGCCATCAGCTGTGTTGAGCTCTCCTAATAAGACTGGAGTTGGGAGACAATTTGATCAAGATGGGCTTTGAAACATTACTGCAATATCACCAAGTACCTTTCTCCATTGAAAGAAATTCCTTCTTGGTTAATCAAACCAGAAGCTCTGACTCCAGCCAGCCCACCAAGACTAACCTCAAAATATAAGGGAGCAAGTAGAGGGTCAGCTACCTCTGATGTTTTGTGTAATGGGAAAAGGCCATCCTTTGACACAGCACAGTGATTCTCAGTCAGGGTATTGCAGCACCCTGGGGTGCCTTGAGATCCTTTCAGGGGTGCTGTGGCATACCTACCACACAATGTTAGCACTGTTAGGTGTGCAAACATGATTCACTAGACTAGATAATACCAATTATTTCAAACAAGAATCCATAGTGTTAAAAGAACTCTGACTTGCTGGGATTTGTCTGAGTTATTTACAATAGAAAAATTGTTGTATTATAGTCAAAAGATGAGTGGAAACTAAGAGCTGACATTTTCCAGAGGTTGCCTTGAATCTAAAAAGGTTGAAAACCACAGACTTAACATGTGGCCCAGGGTGAATTAGTTAAGAAAGTGAAGTAGTAGGAAGAGCTGTACTGATTCCTACAGCCTAAGCAGAGAGCACTGGAAACTTTCTGCTCTGCTGAAGGCTAGGACCCTTTGAGCTATTGCTTACCAAGAGCTTGAGTTCACATCCACATGACTGGTCACTGTTGGAAGTGGTGGTAGAGACTTTGCCAGGGGCATACTTCCACAGAAATCTCCTACACAGTGGGAGGGGATGCTTAGCAGCTGAAGGAATTTTCTCTTGGAGGTGACTCTGATTACCCAAAAAAACCTGGGGAAGTTTCTTCAAGAGGCAGGGTGTCACCTACACAAGTTCCAATGCCCCGATTACATTTTACATCTCTCATTTTTCCCTAGATTCTAAATAGATATTTGCCTTCCCTCCCACACTCATAGGATGCTGTATGTTGCCAACTGCCTCCTGCTTTTTAGTCTCAAGCTGCCTGGAGAGTAGGTAATCATAATCACACCACTGTGACCATGTCAGCATTCAAGTGCTCAAGTGCAGAAGGATTTTCACATCAGTACATCAATGCCAGGATCCATCCTTTACCTACAACTGCAGCAGGGTTTACATACCTATAGCCCGGGTACACCCAGGGGGGTGTGCCCTGTCCTCCAATGACAGTGATGGGGGTCAGGCAGGGTGCTGATGGAGGGACCAGCTACTAAAGCAGTTCCCTCTTCTCTCTACAGAGACAGACCTCGACCAAGTGCTTAACTATATACAATTTATTACTATAATAAATACTTAAGATATAACATGAAATATTTACAATAAAGCTTAGCATATGACACTGCATATAATATCCCACAATTCACATAAACCATATAACTTACAATATATATCATTATTAATACATTGAATAAGATAGTTAAGGTTACAACACGATAAACACATATGAAGACTCAACTTATATAACCCAAATAAGTTAATAATATTTCCTAGACCTACCAAGAAACAATACAAATATATATATTAACACATTAAGAACATATATAACATAAACTTCCTTAAAGAATACCCATAGCTATATAGACCTTGACACAAGAACAATCACCCAAAATAGGGAGTGCACTCAGTACCTCTGCAAGAGGTTTCCTTGGAGCCCCTCCCCTTTAGGGCCTGTCTCTAGTGGGTTATGGAATAGAGAAAATCCCACACAATTTACTGATTCATTTTGATGCACTGGCTGGGGGAGTAGTTAGCTGATTGCACGATTTCACAATGATTACACACTTAATTTATACAACACAATTTTATTTTAAAACTCTTTGCTACGTATATAACACTGCTTAGCTTTAAGAAACACCACAAACATTAAAAACACAATAACTACATATATCAGAAACAATGCTCCGAATGCACTTCCTTCCCAAACAATGCTATAAGAATTAGTGTTACAAAAACAACTACAATTACAACTAAAAGTTAAATTTGAATCAATACTATTATTTTTCATAATATACTTACAATCCTAGAATTCCGAGAAGCCAAATACCAAAATATGGTTTCATTCCTCAGTAGTACGATTTAATGGGTTGGCCTCAGTAGTACGATTCAATGGGCTCGCCTCAGCA